GACCTATTTTTTAATAGTGTCACATTGTTAAACTAAAAGTATTTTAACATTACACAGATCTTTATGTAATGCTGGATTATCTTACTGTACGTGCTCTACAACAATATGCAAGCCTGTTTCATAAGGCATTAATTGAATGAACATAGAGTGTTTTAGAGCAAAACATGTAATGATTTATTTATTTGATCCTTTACCAGCGTGGCCAATCTTTCAAAAACGTTTCTGAGACACTAAATGACAGCTTTAAAAAGTAAACTACTTGTTGCAGTAGTAGTTATTCACACTTCTCAATTTAAAGAGAAACATAAAGGTATCCTTTTTTTGCACTAAAATGCTAATTCCTCTGATTTTGCCTAATGAATGCAAATGTCGTCTTTGAGGAGAATAACCCTGAAAATATTAATTAGAAACCTCACATTCATTGTGCTGCATCTTACAAGCTCTTTAATTAGTGAGCTTTTATCGTTTGATCACAATGCTAATTAGATTTCTCAAATTTCAAGGTTTGTTTACTTGTAAGATAACAGAATATAGAATCAAGGGATTCAAAGATTCGTTCTTTCAGAAACCCTATGGCATTGTAACAAAAAAGAACAAAACTTTTTTTTACATTTCTGAAAAGATAAAAACAAAAAGCATATTAATCTGAAAATGTGCTCTCTTTTTTTTTTAAACCTACATCTGACTTGTCTAAATTGGTCACCAAGAGTAAACGATTAGTTTTATGCCCCACAGAAGAAAGAAAAGATGCAGAATTTGCATTTTTGGGTGAACTGTCCCTTTAAAACTGAAAGAAACTGTTTTCATGTTAGTGTTTGTGTCAGAAACAAAACAAAAAATGTAAATGTGAGTGTCTTAAACTGTACATTTATATCTGCAGTCATTTCTTTCGTAAGTTAACCAGCCTGTTAACGCTGAGCATTCTGTCCCGTGGATGAGCAGTAAATCATGTCTGACAGCGGTCGATGTAATCCAGGCGTCTGGCACGTCACCTATTGTCTGAGAGCATTGGGCCCTTGCAGGGGCTGGACGTCCCTTACTCAACCACGCATTTCTGTCAGCGTGCCAGTTCTGCTGTTAGCATGGCCCGCTTCTGTGATACTTCTTATTTTTGCACTGATTTTGGGGAGAAAATGTTAGATGTTAGTGAAGCGTAATGTGATTCTCTACACCTGTGTGAACTTGAGGGGAGTTGACTTTATTTTGACTGCTGATTGCAAAAATGGCTTTGAAAAATGAAGTACGAAAACCTCTAGCATCATTTCTTTGCAGATGCCACTTGGGTGAATTATTTATTAGCTAATGCAGTGGAAATCATACTCTTTTTTTTTTTTCATTTGTGACCCTGGAGCACAAAAGCAGTGTTGAGTCGCTGGGGGATATTTGTAGCAATAGCCAACAATACATCGTATGGGTCAAAATTATAGATTTTTCTTTTATGCCAAAAATCATTAGGATATTAAGTAAAGATCATGTTCCATGAGGATATTTAGTAAATTTCCTACCGTAAATATATCAAAACTTAATTATTGATTAGTAATATGTATAGCTAAAAACTTAATTTGAACAACTTTAAAGATGATTTTCTCAATATTTAGATTTTTTTTGCACCTTCAGATTCCAGATTTTCAAATAGTTGTATCTCAGCCAAATATTGTCCTATCCTAACAAACCATACATCAATGGAGAGCTTATTTATGCAGCTTCCAGATGATGTATAAATCTCAATTTCGCAAAAATTGACCATTATGACTGGTTTTGTGGTCCAGGGTCACAATTGTGCAAATAGTTTTTGGAGCCACTTTAGAATTTGAAATGTCTGCAAATATTGTGCTTTTCAGTGCATACCTCATACTGCATTCTTGCCGTCGTTGCTCTTAGTTATTGTTTATGCAACCCCGACCAAACCAACTACATGGAATGCAGCTCTGTGTATTTTGGAGGAACAGGAGCCGTGTCGGGGAACAACACTAGTACGGCTGTTATAAAGAGCCTTAACAATGGGTCTGCCTACAGAGACCGTACCGCCGTCCCTGGCTCCGTCCACCGCAGGTTCTGGGATCATCGACAGACCACGGGAGGGTTGGAGTGTGTGCATGAAGGGGTCCTGCTGTTTGGGTTTCCTTCTCGGAGCAGCAGTGAGTAAATGAGACCCCCCGCCACTCCACATCCCCGTAACGGCCACATCATCCATGTCTCTCCCCCCTCCTGTCTCCACGCCTCCGAACTCTTCCCTCTCCCCTCCACTCACACACTGAGACATTTTTCCACATTGGCCGGATTAGGAACACTTTCACTTGGATCTATGTGGTCACCCCCACAGACAAAGAAACACTTGGAGACAGGATTAGTAGGATTAAAAAGGATTCACATATGTCCAGTTCAAGCAATTGGTATTCAAAGCTTTACACTTTCAAATGCCACCAAGAGAGAGTAAAGCAGCCCCGAGCTTTTCTTTGCATTGCAGCACCTTTATGAGAAACGATTCCCTTTCATCTTCCTCTATGCTGCAGTGAATTCATGTTTTCACTCTTTTTATGTGGGATTTTATTGCTGTGGAAAACCAATGAGACTAGAGAGGGAAGACTCTTGTTTTTTTTCCCCCTTGCATACACGAAATTGGGAACTTCGACCAATTCCAGAATGCTGTTTTCATCTGACATTGTACTTGCTTTCATTTTCATCACATAAAGGTTACCTTGTTTTTTTATATTAGAATTTTAATTTGTAGACAGAAATCTAGACCATTTCATAATTATGAGACAGTATACATAAGTATATCATACATAATCTTATTATTACAAACAGTATTTTCTTTTGTTTTACTTTTCTTAGTTTGTTTCGTAGTATCAAACCCCTTTAGACCCCCCTTTTATTTGAAAACTGTAACAGTATATCATAACAGATATAATCTCAGGCACGTCATCTGAACATCATCTGCCAGTGAAAGGATCATTTATATATTGTAAAGATACATGGATTTCATATTTAACTTACCAATATATAATAATAATATTTGCTCTGTTTGTAATACTTAACCAATTATGCCAAATTCAATCAAACAATCTTGTAGCATATTTCGCTAAGTAAGCATAAATCAGTATGAACAATATTTGTACATATTGCCTGTTTTTTTGGTACCAAAAAAAATTACAGCTTCTTGTCAGATAATTGGCTAAATGTACGTATATGTTTTAAATTGATACATGCATAATTCTATTTTCATTCAGTTCAGGTGATATAGTAATTTATTAATATTATAATGTTTATATATCTTGATTTTGTTTCTGTAATGAAATGAAATATAATTGCATAGGCACACAAAAGCAACTTTAGCCATTTTATACCAGGGAAAGAGGTTTAAAAATTGATGAAGTATTTATGAAATTAACAGATATATATATTAAATAAAAAATGAAATTATGCAGTATCAGCATTAAATTTCACCTTAAGAGAAAAAATAAATAAATAATAAGTATAAACATTAAAAAAAAGACTTTTCAGAATTTCAAATCAATTTCCTTAATCAACTATTGAATTCTAAGTTGCAAAAACTGTAAAAGGTACAACTCTGATTGATCTTTAGATTTAAAGCATTACAGGTTTTTCAATTAAATTAAGATTTCAATGTTGACGGACATATGCGAACTTTAAAATAGCTCTACACAAGACCTATTTTAATGTGAATTTGTGTTTTATAACAAGCATAACAGTATAAGACCAAACGTCAAGAATCAGATATTTCTAATAAAAAACATTATCCAATGCATAAAATCATTAATGTAATCATGCTCGCTAATATTAACGAAAGTGATAACACAGTATCATTCTGTGATACACCAGTAAGCCTGATATACACACAGTATTATCAGTGCTTATCTGTGACGGGACATGAATGATGCAGGGTGCGATGTAAGCGACCCGGCATCGTTTCTTAAGAGTGGAGAAGTATTTGCAAAGTTTCAGAGGCTCCTGGGCTGAAGTGTCTCCCCATGGTTGATGAAGTATTTATGAAATTAACAGATATATATATTAAATAAAAAATGAAATTATGCAGTATCAGCATTAAATTTCACCTTAAGAGAAAAAATAAATAAATAATAAGTATAAACATAAAAAAAGACTTTTCAGAATTTCAAATCAATTTCCTTAATCAACTATTGAATTCTAAGTTGTCAAAAACTGTAAAAGGTACAACTCTGATTGATCTTTAGATTTAAAGCATTACAGGTTTTTCAATTAAATTAAGATTTCAATGTTGACGGACATATGCGAACTTTAAAATAGCTCTACACAAGACCTATTTTAATGTGAATTTGTGTTTTATAACAAGCATAACAGTATAAGACCAAACTTCAAGAATCAGATATTTCTAATAAAAAACATTATCCAATGCATAAAATCATTAATGTAATCATGCTCGCTAATATTAACGAAAGTGATAACACAGTATCATTCTGTGATACACCAGTAAGCCTGATATACACACAGTATTATCAGTGCTTATCTGTGACGGGACATGAATGATGCAGGGTGCGATGTAAGCGACCCGGCATCGTTTCTTAAGAGTGGAGAAGTATTTGCAAAGTTTCAGAGGCTCCTGGGCTGAAGTGTCTCCCCATGGTGTCGTTACAATGAATATGAATAGATGCTCCTTTGGTCAATGGGACAGTCAAAGCACACCGCTCCAGATAATGGGGACGTAATCCTAACAAGACCGTTATGAATAGAGGGGCTCCTTTTGTTTGGCCCCTCTCGAGCAGCACTATAAATACGGAGCCCTGTGATGCGTCGCCACAGAGCAAGAGGTGCATCTCCGACCGAAATCAAACCAGGAGACGCGGCCTCGGTCTACAGAGAGAAGGCGTGAGTGAGAGAGAGAGAGAGAAAAGAAGAGGCTCCAGTGGGCTAAATCAGGTGATTAAGCAGGAGTGACTTGAAATAAAAACAAGGCAAGAGAAAGAGAAAGAGACAACCTCCTACCCAAGCGCAGCCATAAAATGAATTCGGACTCCAGCTCCAGCAGAGCTTCCTCTCCAGACATGGATGGGATGTACCTCCACCACCATCCTCAAGACGGACGCCTGAACTCCGTGTCCTCCACGCAGAACGAGCTGCTCCAGAAGATGACGGGCGAGCACGCGTCCAAGACGCCCTCCGGCAGCAAGTACAAGCTCAAGAAGCAGGTGACCGAGCAGGAGGTCCAGCATCTGCGCTTGAAGATCAACGGCCGAGAGCGCAAGCGCATGCACGACTTGAACCTGGCGATGGCCGGGCTCCGAGAGGTGATGCCGTACGCGCACGGCCCGTCTGACTAATCAAACAACGATTAAACGAGTAAGAACAAAACATAAAATAGCCTAAACAATTTTACATCAAGAAACGACAGTTTTCAATCAAATACAACAACAACAATAATTATAAACAGTTCTGTTTTTATGTTTAAATTCTAATACAATACTGCCATGATGTATTTGGTTAAACTATTCTTATACATTTCAGATGAAAATTGATTTAAGGAAATATTCTCTTATTTACTGTGACATCCCTAAAAGAATAGAATATTTCCTTAAGTGTCGGCGGGAGAAGTAAATGATAAAACTGCACTGGACACATTTGAAACACAAAGGCAGTCCCTCGGGCCCTTTCACAGACTCAGCGCTGATCAGATGAATGTATGTTTGTAGAGATTACAAGTGAATTGTTCTCAGGGGAATGGGAGAAGACAACATCAGAGAGCGCGTGCGGATTACAGCAGCCTAATGCAGAAGATGAGATATTCAGGACTCTATTCTTGGGGGATGTAAATGAGGCGAAGGATTAAAACGCCCTTTGTAACTAACTCAAGTCCCTTTTTAGACAAGTAGCAAGAAGAGCCTGGGCGAGAATGCTGAGCTATTTTACACTGTAGTTTAGGGACTACAGACAGAGCATGGACACTGAACGATTGATTTTAGAGTTAAGAGCGCTTTCTGCGAGTCATTTTACGATCGTTCGTTATTGTTTCACGTGCGTTCCCCAAAAATGCACTTAACGCAATCGCACGTAGATTTAAGCGCTACTTAGGAGTCGCTAGATCCGTTGGTCAAGTGCTGAAAAGTCACCTTATAGAATGGCTCGTAATTGTAGTACACGCGCGTTTATTGAAATGTTAACCTAATGCTGCGTTCCAGACAACTCGGATATAATAACAATTATATTATATTATATTATATTATATTGTATTTATACGTATAATATTATACTTTACATATATACCGGTATTTTATATATAAATATATATATATACATATATATATATATATATATATATATATATATGTATATTATAGTACATAATATCTATATAGAAACGTTATTTCCGGGTCCAATACATTGCTGGTTTTCAAGTCAGCAAGCATATTTCCTACATTATTTATTTTATTCGTTTTTTTTTTTGTTCAGTCATTTAATTTAGATGTGTATTGGGTAACACTTTATTTCGATAGTCCACTTTAGACATTCTATTAACAGTAAGTAACTTTGCAACTACATGTCAACTAGCAGTTAGTAGAGTATTAGTAGACTGTCTGCTTAATATCTTCTAACACTTTTCTTTGTCAGCTTATTCTACTAACCCTAAACCTACCCTAACAGTCTACTCTGAGAGTTAGTAGACATGTAGTTGCAAATGAATGATAATTAGTTGACATGTAGTTGACATGTAGTTACAAAGTTACTTATAGTTAATAGAATGTCTAAAGTGGACTATCGAAATAAAGTGTAACCGTGTATTTCTATTTTTTCTGCCCTTTTTAATTATTTCACTTATAAATTCATTTAAAAAACGAGTAATAAAGTGTACAATAAAGTACAATCAAATCCTTATATTATAATCACATTGCACTTGAATAAAGTTAAAGGTGTAATCTGCCGATTGTCCTGCAGGTGACCGCATAACTTCTTTTTACGATGCACTTAGATTACTCTAGAGCACTCGTAGATGATTTTCAAGTGCTACTTAAGTTACGATGCTTTTGGGAAACAGACCGTAATATTAAGATCAGTCGTACGATCGTTTTTACGAACTTCTTAGGCTTACGAAGCTTTTGGGAAACGCAGCCGACTGGAGCCAGAGGGACGGAAAGCAGCGAGCTCAATCCGGGACAAACGCCTGAAAAATGCCTCGCTGGCAATAGACATTTGCGTAATTGGATTCGTTCTGCTGTGCAAA